GGCGATGCCGCCCTGCTGGATGCTGCCAAGAAGGGCTGCCTGGCCCGGGTCCAGAAGCTCTGCTCCCCGGAGAATATCAACTGCAGAGACACACAGGGGCGCAACTCCACACCGCTTCACCTCGCAGGTACAAGCTCTTCTGATGTGTTTGTATACTTTTGTACTGAGTAAAAATACTAACTCACACACTGTTTGACATAAAAACTTGGAACATAATGTGTCCTGTTTTGTATTTACACAGTATTTCTTTTGCATTTCATTCATGTCGAGCTGTAAAAAGAGTGGAGCTCAATGAGACTAATCTCATCTGATTAAATATGTATTAAAAAAGACTTTTCGAAGTGTGTTCATATGAAGGAAGTTGCACTGACTCTTTTTTTTCTTCTTCTCTCAGCTGGCTACAACAACCTTGAAGTGGCGGAGTATCTATTAGAACACGGGGCCGACGTCAACGCACAGGACAAAGGAGGCCTTATCCCTCTTCATAATGCTGCCTCTTACGGGGTCAGTCTCAGCTACATAAACAGAAACATCTTTGTGGGTTTTGTAGCTGTAGATTCATGAAAGTGTAAACATTTTAGATGAAAAGATACTTGAGCTGATGACCTCGCCATCAGCTCTTGAAAACTCTGTCAGTAACTGTTATTTTATTTAACTTAAAGTTCAGGGTTTAACTTGTGATCTGTTCCCTCTCTCTTCCTCGCAGCATGTGGATATTGCAGCCCTTCTGATCAAATACAACACGTGTGTGAATGCCACAGACAAATGGGCGTTCACACCCCTCCATGAAGCAGCTCAGAAGGGTCGCACACAGCTCTGTGCGTTGCTGCTGGCTCATGGAGCCGACCCCACCATGAAGAACCAGGAGGGGCAGACTGCTCTGGATCTGGCTACGGTAATGGCTCCTGTCTGAAGAATAACTGTGATACTAAACGCACCATAAAGTGAAACTCTGTACTTTAATATGTTTGCTCGTTGAAAGGCTCAAACTGTTTCCTTTGCTGAATTTTTTTATTTATTTTTTAAACTTGTATATTCCTGCAGGCTGATGACATCCGAGCCCTGCTGATGGATGCCATGCCACCGGATGCCCTGCCCAGCTGCTTTAAGCCTCAGGCCACAGTGGTCAGCGCCTCTGTCATCTCCCCTGCCTCCACGCCTTCTTGTCTCTCAGCTGCCAGCAGCATAGACAACCTTGCCGGGCCCCTCACTGACCTGGCTGCTGCCGCTGCCACAGGGTCCTCCGGGGTGGCAGATGGAGCCACTGGCACTGACCGCAAGGAAGGGGAAAGTAAGTTTGTTGCTTATATCAAACACTGCTCAGTTTATAAAATCTTGTTAAGCAGACAAATTGGACATAAAAGAGACTGGGAAGCTTTTGTTAGAATTATTTGTTTTATTAAATCTGCTGGGTTTTTTGTTTTATTTTTTTTCATAGTGGCAATGCTGGACATGAACATAAGTCAATTCCTGAAGAGTCTGGGCCTGGAGCACCTCAGGGACATCTTTGAGAGAGAGCAGGTCATAATGGCTTTTTCTAGCAAGCACACCTTTTACGCTGGACCTGTAACCTGTTAGTTTGACCAAAATTAAATTATTAAAGGTCTCAATTTGTTGTGGGGTTCTTTTTTTCTCAGATCACACTGGATGTGCTGGCTGACATGGGCCATGAGGAGCTGAAGGAGATCGGGATTAATGCATATGGCCACCGACACAAGCTCATCAAGGGAGTTGAGAGGCTGCTGGGCGGCCAACAAGGTGAGGTGTAACCCAGTGGCTTTTGGGTTTTTTTTTTAGTACTACTTTAATAGAGAGTGTGCATCTTTACACTTTGAATCTTGATCACTTCTCAGGTGGCAACCCATACCTGACATTCCACTGTGCCAGCCAGGGAACCATTCTTATAGACCTCGCCCCAGACGACAAGGAGTACCAGTCAGTGGAGGAGGAGGTGAGCTGAGAAGCTGCATTTACCCA